CTCTCTCTCATTTTTTGTCCCAAATCAAACGGATCTTGAACCAAGCAAAGATTTAAAGAAGTTTTCAACGTCAAGAGAAGGATTCGAGGTAGGATTACTGAAAGAACCTCTCTTGAATCTTACGTTTTCGGATTTCAAAACCCATTTTTGGTTCAAACCGGATTTTGATGGTTTTTGAGTAAAACTAGAGTAGAAATTAGAGATCTTTGGTTCTTTGGACTTGTTTTAGGACTTAGAACTCAGATCTAGTGGTTTCCCTTTGAAAAATCTTGATTTGGGACTGGATTTGCAGGTTTTGGATTGATTTCCGCGAGCTTCTCTCACGCAGCTGATTCCACCGGTCGACCAGTGCGGTCGACCGGATCACATGGAAGGCGGTCAACCAATGCGGTCGACCAGACTGTAAGGCTGACCGGTCGACCGGTGTGCACACTACCGGTTGACTGGTAGTGTTGCACTGCTCTGTCACCGGTCGACCGGTTGACACGGGGTTTGACCTTGTTTGGCCTGAAATTGCTGTTTTGACCCCTGTTTTCAGGGAGAACCAAAATTAGCTTCATTTGGGGACTTGAGATAGATGGATTAGCATTGTTAATCCTTGTTTTGAGATTGAAAACCCTTGGAATGATATTTTGAAACATGAAAATGGATTAGGGCACACTAATAGGAAATCTTGGTTGGAAATTGAGATTTAGATTACTTTAGGAATGAGAATTAATCCTAAAATGTTGTCTTGCATCAGTGATCGCTGAGGATTCAGACTGAAGGGGCTTAAGGAAGCGGAAGTCGAAAAAGGCAACGCTAGTCCCAGGTTTGATAGTGCGAGGTAGGATTTCTATTCCTTTTCCTTGTGAGCCTGTTTTCAAAAAATGATTTTGGCCTTGAAATGTTTTAAAGAAAGGGATTGGTTTGCAAAAGAAAAACTCTTTGAAAACCATGACTTGTTTAGTCATGGAACCTCATGGCTTGTCCAGTCATGGGGCCCGCGGCTTGAGTAGTTCGTGGGGTCGTATTAACGATTTCAAAATGTTAATGAATGATTTCTTAAGCAAAGAGATATTGTGAATTGGTAATAGAGTCTATTGCTGTAAGCCTAGATAGGATGCGGAGAGTGCATCCTCGGGGGCAGAACCTGAAACTCGGTCCGGGTAGGCGAGGCACTTGGTTAGGTAAGTAATTTGTACTAATTACTTGCTGAAGCCTGTAAAACGATTATTTACAGTTACATTTCCTTTGAGAAAAATGATGTGAAGTTCCGGCTGTTTAGTCGGGACTGAATGTCTTATTTTATTTACTTATTTATTTATGTATTCCCTCGCACATTTATTATAACGTTTATTTCAAATTATATCCTACTGGGCCTTTCGCTCAGTTTTATGTTTTAAATGTACTAAACCCCTCCCAGGAGATTCTAGGAGCGGTGCACAGTAGCTGGATATTTGCTACGGAGCAGCTGAGTTATGCTGCTGTTGGAATCGAGTGAGGATCGTGGACATCCTCTTAGACAAATGTAAGGAATTTGAGAAATTCTGTAGACTTATATAATATTTGGATTTACTAGACTGTGGTTGATGTCTGTTGTAATGATTAATTACATGAGCATGTATATACGATACTGTATGTCCTGTGGGGTGGAGCCCTGTGTGTTAGAGGCTCCGGGATTCTGTAATTTATTTATATTTTAATGCAGTTAAGTGTGGGGCCCGGTCTGAGAATCTGCTTTATTAATTTCTAATCGAGCTCCACGTCACCCACCCCGCTTGGGGGGCGTGACAGTTATTAATATAATTTTGATATTATTTGTTACAACATTACTATTACATTATATTATATTATTATATTATTATATCATTGTATTATTATATCATATTATTAAAATAATTATAATATTATCATAATATCATATTGTATGATAAGTAATAATATTTGAGTTATTAATATAATTATGATATTATTTGTTACCATGTTACTTTTATAATTATATTATATTATATTATTATTATATTATATTATATTATATTACGAGTCTAAATTTTAGATTGAGAAAATTTTAAATTTTAAATTTCATTGAAAGTATTATAGGTGTTATGAAAGTTTTATTAATTGTACTATGCTGATTCCCGCACAATCTAAAAGTTAAAGTTATACTTGCTCTGTTTTTTATTTTAGCTGTAGATTCTTAAAAAATCTTTAAAAAGCACTTTTAAAAAAATTTACCAAACACTAAAATTATCTTTTACTACAAGCAGAAACTGATTTTAAGAACGAAAAGCAATACCAAACGCAACCAAAATGTTTTACTTACACTTTTATTAATCTAACTGAATCAGATCTGTAGATTTCTCCGTTTCTATTTTTAATTTTTAAATTTATGACCACTTTTGCCAATTCTTCGAACGGAATCATTATTTGATGGTATTTTGGTTAATATGCCCTCCATTTCACCACTTCAAAGAGTTTTTCGTTTTTTATTAATTAATTAATTAATTACTTTTTAAGGATGAACACTTCAAAGTGTTAAGAGAAGAAAACATAATCAAGCTGCCTATAACAATAAGCAGAGACCATCTTATTTATCCATGGTCAAAAGCAAGCTTTACAAAATGCGTAAAGGGGTGTTTCGGATACTTTATTAGGATAACATACAGCGACATCCATATAACGCAGAATACTTGTATGGATGTAGCTATTCAGAATTCTTGACACCCATAGTTTTACCGAACTATTTGCACATGCTCTCTTTACAACCAGTGATTCTTCAACTCTTCACATTTTGTCACTAGATTTAAGCACTCAAATTGGTCTCAAATTCATCAGAAGTTCTCAGGCACAGTAAAATCATCATAGTCAAGGGAACCATCACTGCTGTCAAAGTCAGGATAGTCATCAAATTCGCCATCAAGATACTCATCAAAGACGAAATCAGCAACACTAGAATACCAAGAACCGTAGTCTTCATCAAATGATCCATCGTCAGAAAAATCATTAGGTGCATTATGACCATCATCGTCAGGACCAATGCGAAATTCAAGGTCCTCAGTTGACTCATGAGGAAGCCGCAAATATTTAATCTGTTCCTTACACCTTTGCCCCAGTTTTCCTTTCAAATCAATACTGAGACACCGGCGCAAGTCAAGTGACTCAAGATGAGGGCATCCATCAAGAATAGCTTGCAATCCCATGTTAGTCATGGGATTTCCAAGAAGCTGCAGATGGCGTAATTCAGGAATGTGTTTAGCAATACCAATTGCCTCTTCATTAATCTCCAACTCCATATCAGGATCCACGAACCAAGATCTATAGGCTTGACAATGCAACTTCAGTGATCTTAGACGAGGACAATGGCGCCCAACAGTTTCAAGAGGTTCTGTTGAAAAAGCGCAAAGTGAAAGATCAAGCTCCTCCAACAAAGGAAGTTTTGCAATGGCCTCAATCAATCCCTCATTTGAAACATTATAGCAACAAGCGAGCCGAAGGCGTTTGACTTGACCACAGCTGTAAAAAAAGGTTATAGAACGAACAAGACTTCAAAAGTTAGCAATAACATAGACAATGTAATTAGACTTTTGCATGATCAAGTTTGTTATTGGAATTTACACTCCATTTGGTAGGAAGTACAGAAAACATATGAGACAATTAAAATGATAGAAAAGAAATTAGTTTTGGTAAGGTTGTTTAATAGATAGGTAAGAAAGAAAACCAGAGATTGGTACAATTAATATTACTCATGTACTGGTATTAGTTTACTTTGAAAAAAAAAGGACGAAAAGGCAATTTTGATGATCATTATTTGGTTTCAAGTTTTACACTCAAAACACCCACCCCAAAATTGCAAACATTAAAATTAGAGGGGCCACTTCAACTTTTATCCACCTAATTTTCCTTTCCTCTTTTCCTTCTCTTCCCCCTTCCCCCCACTTCCTTCATCTTTTCTATCCTACCAAACATAGCATTAGAGATAGAAGCTTCAATACATACGCTTTGAAGCTTATAAGGGAAAACCAGGGGAAACAAGCGCCTAGAAAGTTTTATAACAATCGGCAGTCCGCTGTTTCCCAAATCTAAGGAAGGCTTGCACCTTCACAGCCAAACTTACCAAAATAAAGAAAAGGAAAAATAAAAGATAACAGGAATTGATGCTTAATTGGAAAACTAATTAAGATAAGTTGTCGTTAGTTTGAAACCATTGACATGCCACAACATTTTCTAAGCAGCATGCCAGCCAAACATGCCAAAAATAAGGCTACTTGAAACAAAACAATTTAATCCCAATCTCATAAAACTCCCATGCTACTCACCAAAGACAAACCAAAGCAAAACTACAAATAATAAAAGATTGAATAGCACCGTGCAGACAAAAGCATTAAGGTCCACAATAACACAAAAATAAACCTTATGTGAAATTACAGATGAGATGTGAAAAAAGTCAACGGTTATGGAGCAGGTGAAAGAAAACCCTAAAATTCCAGATTAACAGACTAAAGTTAATATTCAAAATTTAAAGGATAAAAAAAAAAAAAAAAAAAAAAAAAAATTAAATTTAAAAATTAAAAAAAAGAAAAAAAAAAAAAAAAAAAAAAAAAGCAAACATTTTTCACCGATTAGATTCCAAATATAAAATTCAAAACGTAAAGCAAAAACCCTGAGATTTCAAGAAGAGAAATCATAACCTATCGGTGATATGCTTGAGGAGACCATCATTTCCCAAGTATTCGATGTTGATATCAACCAGATTTCCACGACTACGATCGACGGCGTGGCGGCACATCCTGTCCAACTCCATATTCAGATCTGCCTCGCCGATATTATACATGTTGATTTTGCGCCACACCAGCGGATCCTTGCAGATGTCGAACCACGACTTGCACACAAACTGAGTGTTGTTCAGGATCTCCGTCGCAACAAGCCGAGAGAATATCGATGCCGTTACCTCCCGCGGCAGTTCCAGCCAGTTCCGGAGTTGTTCTTCCGAAGAATCCACGCCGCTCGAGGAGGAAATCTCCTTCGAGGATGAATCGTCATCGCCTGAGGAAGAAGACGCCATTAACGAGGGTTACAAACAAGGGATTCGATAGCTTAATTAGGGTTTCAATCGGCGGGAAGAAGTAAATGGGAAGAGAAGGAACTTCGATTTGGGAAAATGACTTGTTACAAGGTTGAGGAATTGTAGCAACACTTGCGCCCACTTAGAGCCGTAGATAAACCCAAATAACTCGCAAACCCACCCCAACTCCAACCAAATCCTGAAAAAGGCAATTTACAGTATTATTTTTAAATTTAAAGTTACATTTGATTTATTGATTTAGAATTATGATTCATAATTTTAATTTTTAAAATTTAAATTTTTTATGAGTAAAGAATACTATAGTGAACTAAAAACTATAGTCCTAAATCAGATTAGAACCCTCGAAACAAACAGAGCATAAATGTCTGACCCGAAATGTTTGAGATGATTTGTGAGTTAGATCTATAATAGCCCGCATACCACAACTCAGACCGCACAAACATGCCTGACCTCTAAGTTCTAACCCTAGGCAACTCATTTAACATCTCTAGTCTCTACTCTCATCAAGCAACTCTCTATGGCGTTATACTCATTCCTCGACCTAGACTCTTAAGCTCTTCGGCGCCTACGGCCTCTTTCCACCTCTCCTCTCGGCTCTCCCCGCATTCTTTTCGCCTCTCCTCTTGGCTCTCAGGTAATAGCTTGGCTCTGATTTCTTTTCTCTTTGTCTCTCTTTCTCTGATTTTTGATTTCTGGATTTAATCAAAGTCAAGTAAGGCATCGTGCACTGATGGAATTATAAATTACTCTTTGTATTTAGAGTTTTTTTTTCTCTTGATGTGTTTGTTTGGACCATCATCAAGCAACCACAACCAAACTTCTAGAATTATTGCATCACCTTCCCCATCCCCTAATCCTACAAACCAATCGGTTGACCGTTAATTTTTTTTTTTCAAAACACCGGCCCCTAGATCACCAAAAAAAAAAGTGTGATTGATTTAGAAAATGAGGAGAGAGATGGTAAGAGAAAGCCCGTTAAGAAATTTGAGGTTTGAGATCATTTTACTATTAAGAAAGGGGGTAATCCAGGTGTGCAAGAGGGGTGTGTAATTATTGTTTGAAGGACCATGCTTGTAGTTCTAGAATGCATGGGACAAGTAGCATGTTGGTCCATTTAAGAAAGCAATGCAAAAAGAATCCCTTTAGAGTTGAAGATAAGAAGCAGAAATTGTTGAGTTTTCCTTTGAGTAGTGAAAGTGGGAATGGTTTGTTAGCAATAGGGTATAGTAAAGAAGCTTGTAGGAAAGCTTTAGCTAAGATGGTGATCATGGATGAGCTGCCGTTTAGGAGTGTAGAAGGGGAGGGGTTTAGACACTTCTACCAAGTAATGCAGTCCAAATTTATTCCTCCTTCAAGAATAACAGTTGCTAGAGATGTTATGCAATTGTTTTGTGAGGAAAAGGCTAAATTGAAAGCTTCTTTACGCAATGATTGTAAGAGGGTGTCCTTTACAACTGAGGGTTAGACTTCTTTGCAAAACATACACTATATGTGTCTAACTGCCCACTACATTGATTATGATTGGAACCTTCAAAAGATAATTATCAATTTTTGTATTGTGCCAAATAGAAAAGGGGAAACTATTGGGAGGTTGATTGAGCATTGTATGCATAGATGGCAGCTTGAGAAGGTGTTCACGGTGACAGTAGATAATGTTGTTGCCAATGATTCAACCTTGAGATTTTTCAAATGGAGGGTGAATGGGTGGAAGGGCACTGTTTTGGATGGTAAATTTCTCCACCACCGTTGTGCTGCTCACATTGTCAACCTCATTGTAAATGAAGGACTAAAGGAAATGCATAGCTTAATAGCAGCAATTCAAAATGCTGTTAAGTATGTCAAATCTTCTCCTACGAGGTTACGAAAGTTTAAAATTTTTGTGGAGCAAGAGAACGTTGAATATAAGAAGATGTTGGTTTTAGATGTCCCAACTAGGTGGAACTCAACATACATGATGTTAGATGTTGCTACTAAGTTCTAAAAAGGTTTTTGATTGGTATGAAGAGGATGATGAAAAGTACTTAAGATACTTTTTGAAAGAAGATGGTGGGAAGAGAAAAGTGGGACCACCAATAAAAGGAAGATTGGGCAAATGCTAAGATTTTTGTTCAATTTATTAAGATTTTTTATGAAGTTACTTTGAAATTTAATGCATCACAACATGTCACTTCCAACAAGGGCATTAGTTTTCTGCCAGGTGTCCCTAAACTTAGCACTTTTCTAGTTTGGTCGTGACTTTTATTATTATTATTAGAATGTGATCTTCTTATGTGATGAATTTGTTGGCTTCTAGATCCTTGGATGTCATGTCCCTTGAAGATTTGAAGCTCATAGGTCTAATATCGCTCTCTAGTATCTTTCTTGTATTACTTTCACCGTCTCTCATGTTTATCGTAAAGGAAACTCTGCAGTTGTTAAATTGGCTTCTTTTGATCTTCATTTGGATTGTGATTTACGGTGGTGGAATTCTCTCAAACAATTGGTCGTGATATGAAATGCCTAACCAAAGATTTATCCAGTAAGGATTTTAGTCATCTAATTTCTTTTGAATCTCGATAAGTTCATGCAATTTTTTTTTTTTTAATTTTAGGTTTTTCCCTTGGAATTCTACTAATTAAGGATTTTAATGAGGCCTTTATATTTATGATAGAAAAAGTAGAACACCTGAATGGTTCTGTCTCTTGTTTTTTCTTGATTTTGTTGTTTTTCTTTTGGCTTCATACTTTTTGTCTGTTAGTCGTTTTTCAATCTTTAAACATTTCTTATACTTTTTTTTTATTAATAAATAGGGAGGATGTAAGTGCCAACTTAGTTAAGATGTGCTTTCTTCCTCTGATATTAGTAATCTTCTCCCATTGTAAGTGTTCAAATATCACTTAACATAATTATTATTGACTAAATCTGGGTAAAAATGTCACTTTCATGTTGTAAATATTTAGCTAGAAAATTTTCTAAAGTAAGGAGGGGTATTTTTTGTCATCTTGAGAATTTTTAATGGTCAGAGTACACTTTTCTATAAGCTTTGACTAACGGAGGGTTGTCTCTGTAGTCTTTCCAAAAACATATGTTATGTTGACGAGAAAGTGTTTAATTTGGACAAATCAAAGAATGCCTTCCATGATATTTGGTAAGAGGAAATATACAATATAAAGGAAGGAGAGGATAAAACCCAAATAAGGAAAATAAAAAGGAACGAAAGAGTTTTGTTTTCATCGTGTTTGGTAGAAGGGAAAAAATGAGAGAAGTTGTCTGTATAGCATTTTACCATTTTACCATTACACCCTTTATGTAAAATGGGTGAATGAAGTGTAATTAAGGGCAAGATAATTATCTATACCTTTTTTTTTTTTTTTTTCTTTTTCTTACGTTTTCTTTTCAAAATTGAAAGGATTTAAATATGGCGGACCTGATAGATTTTCTACTTCTTTCCTTCCTGATTTCCTCATTACCAAAAAACTATTCCCTTTTCCAACTCTAAAATCCCTTCAATAATTTATTTCCTTCTACTATTAACTCTACCGTCCTTAATTGAACACGATAACTGACAGTTGAACAGAACACCGTTTTGGGATATAGACGGACACCACTAAGCGCCAAAAAATAACATACATAATCGTTGTTCCAAGAGAAAAAACTCCATGAATGTTCTAAACGATCTACTTATTGTAGTTCAGATTATACCAACAAGAACAAGCGTAAAAAGGTAAAAGTAAAAAATGGGCAGAACGATAACGAAACGTCCAAAAAATTTACCCTTTTATTTGTGCAGTATAGATTGATTCATGTAAAAGTCGTGAAGAATTTCCAAGCATTTAAATTACGAACTATTCTGTTATATTGATAAGTCCCAAGACTCCTATAGCGTGGATACATCATACGATAACACATCCCGCTATGAAATTTAATATTAATTCAATGATTGTTAATCAAAGGAATAAGTTTATACTGACACAGGAATCCCAGAATTCCTAACATCAGTACAAATTTTACACGTACAAATTAGTAGCTTAAAATGAGCATCTACAAACAAATGGTGGGACACAAGACCCTATTGTCATTTCATTCTACAAAAGCATGGCAAATACAAGAGACACTGGGTTACGTTTCATCCACAGCTCAAGCGAGATTCAGTGATCCGCATGGTTGTTTGTCGGCGCGGAATCCCAATTTCGCAGGCATTGACCCTTGCTGCAAATCGAAGCGAACAGAGTGATTCGCCAATTGAAGATGGATCTGGGGATAAATTTACGAACATCAATGTCTTGGAATCTCCCCCTAGACAAGGCTGTTCACACATTGAAATTAATAGTTAGCACCAGACAATATTTAAGCAGCGAGGTTTAATACATTGATGAAACGAGGAAAACTGACCATAAGTCTATACCTGAAGAAGATATGTTAGCTTTGAGTTCCTGAAAGGTACATGGTCCTCCTTTTTTGCTAAAGCAAATATAACATCACTCAAACATGCCAAACTTTTATTGATGGCCTGAAATTTTGAGAAAAGAAATTACCAAAATCATCTTGTGAGAATAGATACCATAAGGGTCATAAATTAGAAAGGAAACTACAAAAGATCATAAATTAGAAAGGAAACTAAAAAATTTAACTAACTACCTGTGTTTCCTTTAAACGGTCTCCAGTTGCACCACTCCTCGAGAGCCGCTCACTTCCAGCAAGGTCAATAAGGTTTAAGACCCCCTGAACTTGTTGTTCAGTACCCTGCCAAAGCATAACATTTGTCAATGGATATTTATATGCAAAACAAAACGTGAAAAAAGAGAAAGCTAAGTGCACAAATGTCACTGCAACATTGCAACAAACCTCATTTACGCCGGATATACGCAGCGTGAACACAAAATGACTCCTTGATGACTGCTCATTCATTTGTGTCCTGCCAACAGACCTGACGTTCCAAATGGCAATAAAAATGACGTTAAAAATTTGTTAGTCAAAAGGAAACTCTAGGGGGATCTGGGAAGTAAGGGGTGAATTGAAGTCAAAAATAAAAATCCATACTCTTTCTTCCTCTAAAATGTATGATAAAATCTAGATGAGACAAAGATTGAAGATTTTTTACTCTAGAAGTTTAACCTGTATGTTCCCATCTCCAGAGAAAGTATTATTTAAGAGCAAAGCAGAATTTGTAAGGGAAAAACAAAGCAAAAACCAGCATGCCTGATGCCAAAACATATGGAGCTTCCTAATGCTATCAACACTAAAGGCAAGAATATGTTACAAGATAGGACTAGGTGGAAAGCTTACTATACCTGCTCTGTGCCGCCTGATGTAGAAGAGAGGAGACCTCTTTTAGGCTACAAACATCAACAATGGTGAGATCTGAAACATGAGTATTTCCATTTGCATCATGTTTAATTGTAAACTGCTTTCCGAGAACCCCACTTTCAGTCCTCATCATATCTGCATTACTTGACCTGCTTGTTGATAACAAATCACGAATTGTTTCGTTGTATATCTCTAGCATTGAGGCCTGCACCAAAGTTTTATGGATAAGAAGCATGATCAGCAAATGTAAAAAGATGAAAAACAACATTTGCTACCTGCATCTTGTATTTCCAGCCTTGGGATTGAAGAGCCTGACTAGTTTGAAATATTTGTTCTAATGAGCGTGGTATTAGCCCTTTCTGCTCTGGGGTTTCTGGTCTACCCATCATGGTAAAGGTTTTGCCAGACCCTGTTTGACCGTAGGCAAAGATGCAAACCTAAAAGAAAAATCACCAGTATTCTTTATTTATTAACAGACACGTTAAACTGCAACTAATTTATCTCATGGCCGCTCAGTAAAGGAAAAAAAGAAAGTCACCCTGTAGCCATCAAGCGCACTCTGTACCAGCTGTGATATTTCTACAAAAACATCTTCTTGAGACGCGTCCTGGTTAAATACTTTGTCAAAAGTAAAAGGATATTTCTGCCCTGCAGACCAAAAAAAAAAAAAAGGAAGAAGAAGAAGTTGAGTTAACCTTTAGGGATGTGATTCTCATTTCAAGTTCTCAAGATAGACATATATATATATATATATATATAAATATATAACTACCAGAAAATTTGGGAAAAAAGGTTGGAAGGAAAGAAAATCAGGTCCATACCACTTTGTAACACGTCAATACCCCTTCCAAGAGCTTCTGTTGACGTAGGATAAGAAATGACAGGGTTTTCTGATCCAGCACTTTCATCCGGCAACAAAGGCCGCACCCGACAGAAGACTCTAATATTTCCTTTAAGCTCCTGTTGTTACAAACAATTTATTATCTTTAGCCACTGTTATTACAAACAATCTATTAACACTAAAACATTCCTGAAATTCAACAGAGTTAGTGAAGCTACCAGAATGGTGTTGTGCAGCTTCTTTCTCAACTTTTCTCCTTCAACTACTTGGAACTCAACATCTGCAAGGCGGTCTTGTAGCTCACTCAAAATTCTCTTCTGCTCTTCAAATTCTGCCCTTGTTTCTGAAGCTGATAAATCCGCCATCTAAATGAATAGAATAATCAAATTATAAATGTTTTTTTGTATGTAAATATCTTATGTGCCATGGGCACATTTTTCAAGTCAAGAACCAACTACAGCATAGGTGTTACCTTCAATTTTTCATTTGCAGCAGCTAGTTGATGCTCAAGTAGACGTATTCGCTCCCTTTGTGATGAACATACATCCTGGAAAAAGAAGAGAGGCAACTTATGAAACTTTTTAAGAAGGAATGTACAAGATATAAAGACGAAAATAAACCAACCTCCAACGCATTTGTTTTCATTGTTAAGTCATCTAACACTGCATGTGACTTCCCATAAACCTCTTTGTGTTTCTCCATTTCAGAAGTCAAAGCTTGCACTTGTGAAGCTCGGTGATCACGGTCATCTCTCACTTGTTGCAGCTCTCCTCGAAGGCATTTCAATTCATTTAGCAACGTATCTTTTTGCTTTATGGCATCATCTTGGGAAGCCTGCAACAAAACCATACACAAAAAACGTTTAAGCCACGTCCAAAATCAAGTGATTGTAGTGACAATAACATAAATACCAGGTCCAAGCAAATGACCACAAAGGAAATCAAAGAGGCATTTACCTTAATGGAACTCAACTGATCTTGCAATGATTTATAGTGACCCCTTAAAGTGCTAAGGTTTTCCACAATGGTCAGTTTCTCCATTTCTACTCGTTTAAGAGACTCACTGGCCGTTTCAAGATCTGTTTGGAGCTTGCTGTTGTACTGTTGAAGACTCTTGTTATACTCTTGGGCTCGATTGTACAAATCTTCACTTGTGGAAACCTGAAGAATCAGAAATAAAATAACCATTTAGCAAAATATGCAAATGCAAAGGTAAAATAAAATAAAATAAAATAAAAAATTGCTGAAATTAAGACACAAATGAGAGAGATCAAAACAAAATCTTTATATTACCCTCTGATCAGCAATTAGTTTCTCTTGCTTTACTTTTTCAAGAGCGTCTGAAAGAGAAGCTTGCAACTTTTCAGCACCATCCCTTGCCTCCTTTTCTCTTCTATGACAATTGATTGCGTCCTAGCCGTCAAACAAAACAAAAGGGAAACCAGACAGATAAGAATCAAAAGGGCATGCCACTTGATCAGGTAAATTATTTATATTCTTGGACTGACAAACTTACCAACTTATCAGACTCTTCCTTTGCTAGCTTCTCTTCCAACGTAGCAATAGTTTTCTGCAACTCCAAATTAATTTGGTTCATCTCCTCTACCTTGTTCTTCAACTCCAACTCTGCAATAATACAAATGTCACATAAAATTCCTTTCTAGAGGAAATAATATATCAAAAACGTGATAGAGCACACGAGTAAAGATTTGAGAATAAGAACTTACCAGTATCAAGGCATTTCTTTTCACTACATTCCAATGCATTGTGAAGCTTTTCCTGCTCAAGAAGGCTGCTTTCCTCAACTCTTTGAAACCATTTAACACAAAGTTTAAACCTCTTATTCTGATCACCCAATTGCTCCGCTTTCTTCTGCCCAATCAAATAACAGAATTAAAAAAAAAAAATAGTTGTAACAGAGTTCACATGGAATTAATTGCAAGAATAAAAAAAGCAGCAAACTCGTTAAGAAAGATGCAAACCTTGTGATCAAATTTGCTTGCTTTCAACTTCTCATTTAGCAGTGCCTCAACTTCTTCTTTTGTGAACTCGACACTCGTGTTCTCGGACTCAATACTGTTTGCATCAGCGGCAGTAGCTGTAGCATCCTGTCTGTTGTTTACTGACGAAAAGGGCTGTCTCCTAGGCGGCCCACTGCCCGTCTGTCCCGGCGCTCTCGTCACTCCTATTCTCCTACGCTTGTCGAACGGAACATCATCCACGCCTTCCTTTTTCTACAGACACAAACCAAAACAAAATAACCATATAACTATTCATTCAAGAGCAAAATTATTAGCAACCCTCATAAAAATGAATCCCATTTCATTTTATATCACCATTTCACTAAATTCATCATAGATAATGAAAAAAAAATCCCAATTTTGCAACATCTCGGAACCCTAGGAAGAAAAATTTTAACCCCAAATCACAATAATCTCAGAGACCCAAGACAGGACTCGAATTCAAAGACCCAGAACTTCTTTCAAGTTATCTTCGCCGTGAAAAACACAATGAGGTTTAGAAGAAAAGTTAGGGCTTACAGCATTGGGACTCCGAGGGGCTCGATTCTGGTTGCGAGAAGCCATTACTGCTCAAATCCTCCAAAATCGAAGCGAAAAGTTCTGGAGAATTAGTGTCGCATAGTCGGTGGTAGCCGCCAAAATCGAAAACTTAAGAGGTGAAGCAAAAAGAGAAAACTGAGGAGAAATGTGAGATCTGAGTTTTCGAACAAACTTGTTCGAAGTTGAATCTGATTTGTCTTTGGAGAGAGAAGCAGGAAGTTAGAGAGAGAGAGCGAGAGAGAGAGAGAGAAAATTTGAATTTGGATCTGGCGGTGCTTCTAAACGCTCCTGGAGAAAGACGTTGGACCTTTTGTGTTTGGGCCGGATCGGGTACATACCATGGGCCCGGTTTTTAACGATTAAGAATCCGAAGTTCTAACTAGTAACTTCCCATGTTCTTTCTACAACCATGTCAAAAAAAAATAATTTAAGAAAAAAACCACCCATATTCTGTTAGAGTGCGTTTAGTTGTAGTCATGGAATAGTAATAGTAATGATAATGGTAATGAGAATAAAATGGAATAGGAATGTATCGAAAATAAATATTAATTTTTTTATTTAGTTGGAGTTATGAAATGAATTTAGAATAGAATGAAATCAATCATGTTTTGCGAAAAATACCCTTGAACCTATGAACAATCTTTAACCAAAAAAGTGAAGCAACAACCCAAATCTGAAAAAACCATTATATGTTGTTCTCAACAAGACCTAAATCTAAAAACATATATTCCTCAAAAGTATTGTTGAAATTTTATCACAAACTTGAAAAATCAATACAATGCTCTGAGCAACCTAATCTTAAACTATGGAATTTATTTTATGCTATCAAAATTTTCTTCTTCCATGAACAAGAAGAGCGAGAGAAGAAAAAAAACTATGGAAAGATTCAAGCTTGATTGTGAGCTTCAATGTTGACGGTGGATCACCGAAGGCACTCAAAGCGAGCTCCGATGACTTCCGGCAGCCTTGAGAGCTCCAGAATGACAGAATTCTGGCGATCTCTGGCGGCGCTCGAAATGGGCTTTGGCAGTGGATGCGAGTTTTGAAGATGTATGGCGGCTTTTGACGTGGGCTTCGGACGTGGGCGTGGCGGCCCGGCAGTGCTTGACACAAGCGTCGGAGATGTAGTCTCACCGTAACTTCAGGCTGGATCTGACAAAGATATGGATGGGTTTTGATTTTGGATTAGTGTGTTTAGAAGATGAAAATGGTAGTTAGGAAAAAAAATGATTCCACCAGCCTCAGAATTACAATTTCACTTTTGATTAGATGAATGACCTTTCCAAGAAAGACATTTTTTATTTGAATTTCTCAACCAAACATAAGAAACAGACTTTACTAAAAGAATTGTTTTTCTTTCTTTTCCATTACTCCCAACCAAATGTGCCCTTAATGTTTTTTTCCTATAATTTTATGTTTATTACTGGGAAAAAAAACTAATAGATATAAAGGAAAGTAAAAGGAAACCCATGTTAGTATTTTGCATTCTAATGAGAAAGTGTTGATTTATCCAATGAAAAAATGTATATATATTTTTTAAAAGTGTGAAGTTTGTTATCCTAAAAAAAAGGCTTTTCAGGTTTAAAAAAAAAGGTTTTTCTTAGCATATAAAGAAAGTGTGAGGTTTGAACTTCCAAAGAAGAGCAAGTGGTTAAAAGCCAACAAATAAATAAAAAATAAAAATTGGGACATAGTTTGTTTTTTTTTTTTCAGGGTAGGGATATGAAGGCTATTATAAAGTTACTTCTTTTTTTTTTAAGGAAATTAAAGTTACTTTTGAGTCACGAAATTATAACTACAGTGATTTTTTTATTGTAAAAGCAGATTTTAGTGGTTATTTAAGACATTATTTCTTGGAAGAAATATAATAGCTTTTAAAAAGATAGAAATATAGACATTATTGGTTTGGTGGTAGTCTAATTCATTTTCTTGCATAAAGCTTTTAAACAGAGAGAAATATAGGTGCCTGGCCCTCTCATTGGAACAAGTTGGGTCGTGCTTCTTTTTCTTTCGTTGACAAATTATTTTTATATATTACCCTTGATTAATATTTTTATGTCAAAAAACTATATCAGTCAACAAATTATATCACTTAAAAAAATATTAATCAAGAAATAATAGATAAAAATGCATACTCATGCACTCATAAAAATAAGTTCAGTAATTATCTTTTTTTTTTTTCCTCTAGAGTTTAGACCTTCTAGATTTTATTGGACGGATAAGATCAAACTGTGGATTACAAAATTAGTCAGCAACTTGTTGCAGACATGAATCATTTTGGTTTGTTGGTTCGAATTGTATGTAATTTGAAAACTGAAAAATCTTAACCATGAATAAATTGCAATTTGAACTAGGAATAAAATTTAAATCCGTATTTGGGTAATTGTCTTACAAAAAGTCAATGACAATGGAATGTTTTAATGGAGCATATGAATGAGGTTTTGTTCGTCTATTTGCTTTGAATGCATAAACACACCAAAAAAAAAACTGTTTTTATTGAGATTGAAACAAAAAAAGTTATGACATTTACAAATTTAGGTAGAAGAAAGATAAATTATTATTCATTTAATCGGATTCTATGAATTTAAGGGGACATAAATTCAGATTTTTGCACTATTTGAGTAGTTTGATTTTAGATTTTAATTCAAATAATTTTTGCTCCAAAACACCAATATGAGTTAGAAATTTAACTCAAATTAGAATTTTCAACTCGAATCAATAAAAATAACATGCTCTAATCTCTCATTTAACATGGCCACAAACGTCTTAGCATTTTTGGCATTGGAGAAATTGCAGAGACCCTTGTCGAACTCAAATCTAGGCTAGCACTATTTCTATAAGGGTGCGTCACACTTTTTTACTTTTCTCACGTTTTTAAACCACCTCTCATTTTACTTATACATCTCTTAAAATTTAAAAAAAAGTCCCTACAATTAAATCACTCTCAATTTTACTTTTTATACACACATTTTTAAACCACTCATCATTCTACTTATTACATCCTTTTAAAATTTCAAAAAGGTCCCTATAAATAAATCACCCACAATTCTATTTTTCTATAGTTTACTGTTTCTTCTACAGTGAAATGACGCTTTTACCCTCGATTTACTGTTCTCTTCTTCTTCTGGTGCAAGGGCATTTTGGTCTTTCGTTGGCTTTTTGGTTTTGCACAGATCAGTTTACTGTTTCTTCTACAGTGAAAATGACGCTTTTACCCTCGATTTACTGTTCTCTTCTTCTTCTGGTGCAAGGGCGTTTTGGTCTTTCGGTGGCTTTTTGGGTGCGTTTGGAATTGATTCCAAAACGTTTTTATTTTCTGTACGAAAATGAAAATGAAAACGTTTTTAGTTTCATTTTTGAATTATTTCTAAAAATGCGTTTGGTAGTTTTATTTAGAGATTGATTTCAGTTTTAAAAAAAAACTGAAACTGCGTTTAGTGGTTTAATTTTTGAAAACATGTAATAATATATTAAATAATAATATATTAAATAAATAATATTATTAAATATATTATATAAATAATATTATTAAATATATTAAATAATAATATATTAAATAAATAACATTATTAAATATATTAAATAATATTATTAAATATATTAAATAATAATATATTAAATATAAATAATATTATTAAATATATTATTAAATATATTATTAAATATATTAAATAATAATATATTAAATAAATATATTAAATAAACATATATAATACAAAAACGGTTTCAGAAAAGAGGGAAGAAAATGAAAAAAAAAAAAAAGTGAAATCCGTTTTTCAGAAAACAGAAAATGAAAACGAGAAAATGAAAACACCTTTTTTTCATTTTCTGATTTCCACAAAAAGACAAAAACGTTTTTGGTTTTGTTTTTTAAAAAAAATTGCACCAAACACGTTTTTAACACCCGTTTTCATTTTTTTGCTTTGAAAACCATAAAAAACGAAAATGAAAACGCAAACAAACAGGCCCTTTGGGTTTTGCTTTTTGGTAATTTCCCAGCCCCTACAACTCTTATTTTCCTTTCTCCCTCGATTCTCTTACAGCCCGTTTGGTTAGAGGATTCGTTCTCTGATTCGAATCATGATTCATAGTTCGCTATAATATTTTCTCTCATAAAAAATACACATAAATAAAAAATAATTATAATCTCATGATTCTAATTCATGAATCAAACGGCATCTTATATTCTCTGCCCCTTCATTTGCTCTCTTTCTTGGTTGTTCGCATTTCGTGTGGGATGCAGCCCTAAGGGCTTCTTTCTTCTCTCGATTGTTTTGGGTCTGCCGCTTTCTATTCATTTTTGTTTGCTGCGTTGCATTGATTTTTCCTCCTTGCGCCCGTGTGGAGCCCTAAGGCTCATTTCTTTCTTTGCATTTCTGCTCTATGCCGCTATTGGGCCCCTCATTCTTTTTTTTTGTCCTCTTCGTGTGATTCTTCTTTCTCGCTTTGTTTTGGCCGGGATGTTGCGCCTCATCCTTTGGGGTTTTGGAGTGTTGATTCTATTATTGGGATTTGGGTGGAAATCTGGGAATTTTATCCCTTTTCCCTTTTGGATTCTTCTGTCGTTTCCATTCACGGTTTATGATCTATTTCTCCTCTGTTCTTCATTTATGTCTTTTTGATTTATGCTTCTTGCTTCTTTGGTGGTTTGATTTGCGTTCTTTGTTTTGGTTTCTACTTATATTTAATGGGTCATATGTTTTGTTCTTAATTTGTTGCTATTATTCTTATTTATATATTTCTTCATTGGGTTTTTTCTTCGGCTGCTTCATCTACTATATTTCTTTGTTTATGATTGTTTTTAATTTGTTTCCCTTTTTTCCCCGCGTTTTTTCCCTTACTGTTTTCTTTGTTGTAGTATTTTGTGCATGTACTTTATCTGCGTCGGTGGATTTTCTCTTGGCTGATTCCATGCCGTGTATGGGTAATTTTTGATTTTTTTCAGCATTTATTGTGTTGATGATCTGGTCTGTGTATAGTTGTGCTTTGCTTTGCTGGATTGATGATTTGTTCTCCTTTTGTTACGGACATATTAAATGATTTGGTGATTTTTTTTCCTTTGTATATTTTCTGGAATCCTCGCCATTCTCAGCTTGAATTATCTAGAATCCTTGGCAATTTAGGGAAGTAAAAAAATCTGTTACTTTTTTTAAAAATTTTGGTTTCTTAATTTTTGTAAGATGAATATGCTTTATTACATGTCATATTACTAGAAGTTACCTA